AAGACCAGACATGAGACCAGTAACAAAAGCAGTCCCAAGACCAGACAAAAGGCCAAACACAAGACCTGTCATAAGTGACCGGGTGAACAACGACAAACATTGCTTTGCTGCAGTTTATTTGAATAGCTTGTGATATGACTTCAGACCGGAGGTCTTTGTTAGTCTCATGAGGGTCTTGGATGATCTCAAGGGTTGCAACTGCAACAATCGTATCTAGAATCAGAAAATGGCTCGGTTATTTGAAACTGGAAGTGTCATTGGTCAAGTACATTTATTACAAGTATTCAGGAGTCATCAGGAAACAATCGTTTGTAGTGGAGCTGTTCTCAAAATTGCAAGTTTACATGTTGAACCGTATGTTCTAGTCATCTAAACACATGATTTGAAAAGCATTTTACACTGCCTTTCGTAAACGGACCGCACCGTGTCACCCTGCATTCTTGCACAAAGTTTACATACAGCCGAAGGTTCTCCATTTGGTTAAATGACTGTCTGAGATAATAGTGACTCTCAGGGTGCATCTTTAAAGATTCCTTAAGGTATGGAAAAGCTTCTAAGGCCAAGCTCTGCAAAGGTCAGGTGAGGAAGCTGCTGGACCAATGTCTTGACTTACGTAGAATCTGGCATAGGAGCCGTCTGATGGAAGAGCCACGTTCTGCTGTCCCATTGCCTTGTAAAGTCCCTTGTTGTACCTCACTAAAACCCCTTGAGGCCAGACAGTTGCGTCAGACCATCTTCAAAATCAATCAAGAATGTATTTATTTATTTATTATTTCCTTTAACTAACATCTGACATATCAATATAGTATTCATGAACTTGGCCAAGACTGGTAAGCACGGACAATGGAAGTTGACAGACAACTTTGTGCCAGCCAATCAGAAAAATTTACTATCCGATCACGTTAATTCTATTTAAACTGGCATTGAGTTGGCCAAACAGTGTCTAAACAGCTGTGCTCAGTATAGAGGACTACTGCACAAAGCACAGTAAAGTCTTTTCATATTGGTCACAAAACGACACTTAATTTTATGGTTTACACATTGACTACTAACTATGAGTACACTCGTAGTCACAGGTGTACCGGATTTCGCCACTAGGAGTATATTCGTAGTCACAGGTGTACCGGATTCTGCCACTAGGAGTATACTCGTAGTCACAGATGTACCGGATTCCGCCACTAGGAGTATATTCGTAGGAAATGAAAGGCTATTGCAATGTAAACTGAATACACTGAAATCATCACAGAACACAACAAGTGCGCTGCTGGCAGTGTGGAGGGCGTACCCCTGTAAAATGCTCATGTTCAAACAGACACCTGAAAGGTACCTATAAAATATGCGCGCAAGTGTACAACGCTTGGCAAATGGGAACGCCCCTTTGAAATTATGCGCGGCAGTCAATGTGCAAAACGGCTACAGCTCATGGCCTTCCCTCGAGTGCAACAGTCTCCTCCTCCATCACCCCCCCCCTCCCCGACTTACAAGTGTTGTGGGGTGTTGCTGTACCCGTGGTCCACCTTCTGCCACTTGCCCAAGTGCAGGGAGCAGCGGTGGAGCGTGTCGCAGTAGTATGCTGGCAAGAAGTGGGAGCTGAACATGATGAAGGAGTTGATCCAGACGAAGGCGATCATCAGACACGCCCACCACAGGTCCAGATACATGGATGGCTGCCAAGAATGTGACGTGCATTTTAAAACAGGTTCAGCTTTGGTGACAGAATCTCCAGGTCACCTGCTATGTTTCAAATGACGCTTCCACCTTTAATACTATTAAGAACAGGGGTGAGATTGACCAATGATAAAAATAGCTGAAAACAGCTGAAAAAAGCCATAGAGAAGCTGAACTGTGAAAATCTCCTATACTTTTGTACACAGCCAGTGAGGAAAAAAAAGCTGAAATCCAAAACAAAAGAAGCTGAAATCAGCTAAAAAGCTGAGAAATCTCACCCCTGTAAGTATCCTGAATTTGCAAGAAACCAACCTCTGGCATTGATCCCTTGGCCGGAAAGGGAGCAGTTTGTACCTTACAAAAATCCAGATGTCGATGATTGATTGGGAGAGGGTTATCTTGTTTGAATTGGTGTTTTCGAACCATCCCAAATTTGCCCAAACCCCACCCTGGTCTTGGCGTCTTTGATGAAGAGAAAGCAAGACCCGCATGAAGGATTCAGCCATTTGGGACTGATTCTGAGAAGGTTATGGGGAATTTCTTCAATGGAATAAGAAAAAACTACTCAGATTTCTTCAAACCCATGACTTAGCCCAGATGTTCTGTTTGAAGCGGATGCAGCACATATCAAGTGATTTCTCGGCTAAGTGTGATGGCAGAGAAATCATGAGTGAGCCGATTGTAATATCTCAACTTGTAGGACCAGTACAGTGAACTGTTTTAAAATACAAAGTAGTCTGACATCTTTATTTTTCAAAGGTATAAAGAAGGGTTGATTTGGCCGATGAACATGATTTTGTAAACTAGTCTTTGCCGGAATTTGTTACGCTCTTTATAAATTTACAAGAGGTTCTCTTCTTTTGCAGCTTTCAAGAAAAAGGGAACAGAACTGGACTCACTTGTAGAAAACAGATGGGCACAAAGCCTACATAGTAGGCGCAGACCATGGAATTGAAGAGCACGCTCTTCATGCGGGTGTTGAAGTCGTACTTGAGGACGTCTGCTTCCTTGCGGACCTCCATGGGCACGTGGGTGCACTTGTGCTCGGTGGATGACTCATGGGCGCAGCCGAGTGAGGGCGAGGACAATGGGGAGGCGGAGACGGACTTATCGAGGGGGGAGGGAGCCTCGCCCTTTGGCCAGAGCTTGTTGACGACCGTGGCAAAGACCGACTTGTTCAGGTCAAACGTCAAGCCATAAAGCAGGAAGTATGACACCAGACTGAAACAAACAGAAGCAAGATCCATAACTCCATGACATAACCATTCATACATATCATTAAACCCTACCCTAACCAAACTCTTTTAAAATTCACAATGAAATTTGGGTTTTTTTGCAGGGTTTAAGAGGGCAAAGAACAACAGACCCTCAGAAATTTGTAGGGCTAAGTATTTTATGCATAATTTACTTATTAATTTCCACTTGTACTTAAAAAAAAGGAAACTCACGGGTATGCTAGGAAGAACAGATTGAGTGGCGAGTTGCTAAGGAACAGTTTCCATAGAGACCAGACAGCCAATCCCAGGACGCTGATGGCGAGAATGAACTTGATGGACTTCACCAGGTAGAACAGGACTGAGAAGACCTTGGCATCCTTGGCAACCTGCCAGAAATTAAATCTTCCCTTATTTTAAGAATTTACAAATACGGTGACAGAGCACAAACCACGACGATCCAAAGCCATTTCATATAAAAGAATGTGTCTGAATGTCTTGGCTACGACTGATAAAAACACACAGGTCTATGGGAAATGGCTGCAGGCGCTAGCCATTCTTTAGCTATGACAGACTGCAAGTAACACAGACAGGCAGAATTTATTTGAGAGAACATCTTGGCTTGATTTAGCATCTGTTACTCCTACATCCCGCATCCCTGGCGCGCATCCCTGGCGCCGACAAAAAAACTAAGGCGAGCCTCGCAGCAAATTCAACAAAGGGCCAATGGTTCATTAGCTAGTACTATTAAGAGCGAGCATCTCCAGCTGAACAATGTCCAGTACCAACTCAATGTCCTGGCCAGGCCAGGCCAGGCTGCTCCAGTCCTGTAATGTGATACCTGTGATAATTAACCCTAATCCTCCAGCCTACTTTGGCTAGAAAACCTGCCAGACCTGTAATGTGATACCTGTGATAATTAACCCTAACCCTCCAGCCTACTTTGGCTAGAAACCCTGCCAGACTATCAGACTACATAATTTGTCAAAGTGGCTAGCCTGCCCTGAGTAACAAGATCCAATAGGTCAACTCTCCCCCAAGGCCAAACAGCCTGGGAGTCTGTGGTTGCCAGTCACCCATAAGATCCAACAGCTTCCATGGTCTCAACATGGCCAGTTTGTTTGGCTGCTGTTGATTACCCAGAGCATCAAAGTGCATCAGAATTTTTCCCCTGATGCACTGTGCTGCATCTGGCTGGGTTATAGGGTTAACAACCAGCAATGCATCAGATTTGGAAAGTTGGTCTCTAAAAAGTCAACTACGAAACTTCAACTGTCATCATCTAACATGTTTTGGATCACAGCAAAGTAAAATAGGGTCTCTGAACACTGTAACTAGTGGGGAGACGATGGGACAGTTGTTGGAATAGTAACCTGACCTCTACAATGAAGCTCCAGACGAGGCGTCTTGTCAGGACGATGATGATGAACATCACCAGGTATGGGTCAATCAAGTACAGATTCTGTCACACAAAATGAAAAGCTGGCTGATTAACAAAAAA